CTTGCTTAGCTTAGGTCACCATTCTGGGTGTAACTTAGTTGCTGGAGTGAGCTCAATTCTAAGTGATTTGGCACATTTGATTATTTTTTTAAAGTTTTTGTTGGTTTTATAGCACTTGCACCACAAATAGGTCATTTACATGCAAGCGCCGAAGATTTGAAACGTTACGAGAGAGTAACATACTATGAAAAGAAAGAAGAGAGATAAGTACATTAGATGTTTGATAAAAAAGGAGCAGCAAACCACACGAGAGAGCCCGCCAACCACTCACTTGGTGCAAACAGATATCTCCATGTACGTGTATTGAAATTTGATGATAATTTACCTTGTATCTCTTTCAAGGTATCCATTTCTGTAATTTCAATAGTCATGGGCAATAGAAAATGCCCCAGGTTAGTGAGTCCGACGATATGCATGCAGCACATATAGGTTCTCTTCTGGGTAAAAGATGTGGTGTAAGTTACTGGCCACGGGGACTAAAGGAAATGTACAGCAAAAACTATCTGAAAAAACTATCTGCTGGGCATAACCCATAAAGTATACATGCACTCAATCAAAGAGAGAACACAATTGAAAGAGAGTGGATATCACTTTAAATGGTTCATCATTGCACATGTCAAAGCTATTAGTTTGCCAGTACTGGCAGTAGAAACTGACCAAATGGTACATACAATGTACATACATACATACACATACTATTACAAAGTATGAACATCTAAAAACATGAACAAGTAGCTAGGAACCCTCAAATTAATCTCATGAGTTTTGGACAACTTGCAACCTTTCATTAACACAAACGCTGGAAACTAATTTGCCAGCAGGAAAACTAAGTAAACCGAAAAAACACTGACAAACTAACTCCAAGAATGTTGGAAAGGGCAAGAGAGGCATGACTTATCCAGTATCATAGACAAAAACAACCAAAAAAACCCACAGTATTCTATGGGATTTGAACCTGGTTCCTTCAAACCGTATGATAAACCTGAGACCTCCAAACCCATTGAATCAGTGAATGGTATGGTTACTACACCACACTGAATATGTGGCCACAAGAGCAGCACTTGTTATTTAGCTGGGTCTTAGTTTTAGTAGAGGATTTACGGCGCTCGCAACTGCATAAGGTCATATGAGCGCCAAGGGGTGGATATCAACAGAGAAGTCTTTACAGGGAATCAAACGTACTCTGCTCACCTCTCTACCTTTAACAGCACAAAGTCTGCTTCGACTGTCAAGGCACCCCGAAAATAGCGGGTTACAAGAGTGTAACAAACATACAAAAGAAGTAGAGGAAAATGACAATAGTAGGGATTAGGAGAAAAAAAAAGCAGCAGTTCCCTGTTGTAGTTCAGGCACAGTTATGAGCATGACATTGTTGGATCAGCCCATTTACAATTCTACAGTGCATTAGAATGAGAAATGTCCCCCCTTTGGGAATGGCCTAAAGACACTTCAGTCAGTGGCACCGCCCCGTGGGGTTAGCTGGGTTTGCACAACCACATGACATTACATGGTCCAATTGAACCTCTTTTTGTTCATTCTCAAAAGAAATAATGAAATGACGCACACACTGAACACTTCCACTTCAATTAATGCAGCAGGAGCCTACATTCCGTCACTGCCACAAAGTCATAAAAAACATGAGGAGGTTTTCTGGGACAAAGAAAATAACAACACCTGGAAAAAGGTGTTTCATAAAGAAACAATTGTTCCAAAGTAAGTAATGTATGTTGAGGAAAGTAAATAGCATCTACACCAGCAAAGTGATTCCAAGATGGCATTGATTTATAGGAATAACTTAGTGCAACTAAAGGGCTATTTAAACTATTTAGCACAATAATGACAATATTTCCCTGGGAATAGATTAGTAGAATAACAGTAATACTGAAGAGAAGCAAAAGCAGACCATGCTAGAGCATCCAACAGCCACCCTCTGGAGAACTGTGACTCGTTGCTGGAATTAGAAAAGTGACAGACATAAATATCACAGCCTGGAAGGTCAATGAGAGACAGGAAAAAAGTGATACGAACAGCGTGAAACAAGCGCACATACACACACATAAACACATGGACGTAAACACTACTACTAAGTATATCCAGGACCAAAGAGCCAAAATTTCAAACAGTCACTGGAACATTGCAACGCAGGCTTCACCCTGAGATACGATATGCACATTCAAGCATAGTCGTATTGGTACTTAGATAGGATGGTAAAGAGGTTCCCCCTGGAGGCAGTGGCACTTACTAAATGCCTCCTTCTTCCAAAATAAGTCATGAACTAAAAAATATGAAGCAATGTTTCCACATATCATCAACTGCACAAAGTTCCTGATGTACAGTAAGAAGATGAGACCTTGATCTTACCTCCTGATAATCATTTATCAAGTAAAGATATCTCCACTTACATTCTGCTGAATGGAAAAACGATCCACTGTCAGTACTCACAAAGCGAAATACACCCCTATGACCACATGTATGAACCTGACAAGTGACACAGAGATTGACAAATTAACTTGTTGGGAGGAGGGGGGAGGGGGAGGAGAGGAGGAGAGGAAAGGGGAGATAGGGGAGGGAAAGGAGAGGAGGGAAGACCATCAAAGTTTAAACAAAATAAAGCAAAAATCAACAAGGGGCATAGTCAAAACAACCTCATTCCCAGTAAGTACATCACTGTTTTTGTGCCATCACTACAAAAAAAAACACAATGTAGTACTAGAATCTACATTTTCATGATATTAATCCAACCCTCCGGTAATGAGGACAAGATAGCCAATCCTTTCTTTCATCTGAAAGTACAGTCTGCAGACAGGTGTTCACCAGAATGGTTAGTAACATATCAGTCATTTTGTTCCATGAAGTTTAGAGAAAACGTATGGACACAAGAACAGGATAGAGTTCAACAAATGGCATAAATATCATACATTGATATTCTTTAGTGAAATTAAAACAGGCTGTTCAAAACTTCGAAAAAGTACTTGTACAGACACTAGGCTAGACAAAAGGCATCCACCATACGAGGGGCGTTCAATATAAGTCTGTACCCTGAAAAAAACTTGCAGAATGCAATCTCTATCTTTCAGGTACCTGTGTGTGGAGTTTTATAAAATTCCGACAAGCAGTTTGAACTTGAGAGCACTTTTAGTGAAGATAATTCTTCAAAACGAGGGAAGTTGAGAAAAAAAAATTTCCTGCTTGACAACGTCGCTCTAGTCCACAGAGCGGTGAAGGCAACTCAAACACTTCAAACAGCAAAGCAGGGTGGCTATGAAATTCTCCTAAACCAACCCCTCTTCTGACTTTTTCCTTACCCAAATATGAAAAAAAAATCTCAAAAAGCAGCTTTTCCATAGCAATGAAGATGCTATATGGTGGAGGAATGGTCTGGGTCCAATCAAATGTCATAAGCTCAACAACTTTTGAAGGTCAAGTAAAACTGTCAATTTGCAGGGTGACTGTGTAGAGAACCAGCATTGTGAGAGTAAATCTCTCTCTCTCTCTCTCTCTCTCTCTCTCTCTCTCTCTCTCTCTCTCTCTCCTTCTTACTAACAAAAGCCAGTATCCTACAGGATGCTGCATTCACTGACAAAAAATATCCTTTACACTCCTCCAGCATTTGTTTAGGATGCTTTTAGTATCTTAAGGAAAGGAGTAAATCATCTTGTAATGTCCTTTTTGTGACCACACACAGAAAAGTCCATAGCTTTGAACTGTCCCCTCACACAGAAGGATAACTTATCTACAATGTCACAGCTTTTGATTAAATGTTGCTGAAAAGATGTAAAAAAAAATGTGTTGTAACTAAAGCATGAAAGAGAGTATCACAAGTGGTGGACAGGGGGAAACTGGGTGAATTTTACATTTACAGCTGGTGTTTTAGTTTTAGTAAGAGTTTTTTCGGTATTTGCAACACAACAAGGTCATATAAGTCCCAGAGATTAGAAATGTTACAAGAGAGTAACAAACAAAAAAAGAGGAGAGATAAGGATGATAGATGTTTGATAGGAAAGAAGGAGCGAACCACACCCGAGAATCAACCAACCACCTGCTAGTTGTTTTTTTGGTAGAGGGGATTGACTTGTTGGTGAAGGCTCCAGGGTATACAGCCCACAGCCAGTCACAGTAAGTTCTAGGATAAGCATTATAGATCCTATAGGTACTCTTGTCGATATAGACCATAGTCTTTGGCCTACTGCTAATGTGGGGAGTCACGCAATAAAGCAGCACAGTCACAGATAACGGTTTGATTGAGAGGAGGGATGTAAACTTTATCACACAATTCCAAGTGACCGAAAGGGAGATGATAGTGGTGGGGAGGGAAGATAACGGATGTACCCCAACAGACAGACCTAAAGGGGTACCACTGTTCACTGATGTTTAGCAAACTGTCACAACCACACAGTCATAGACAAATAACAGTACACATATGCGGGGGAGACTTATTACACACTACACTGAGACACACATTTACACATATGTACACACAAAAAGACACACCGTAAATCAGTTTTGATTGACTTCAAAGCACACTCACCATTAGCCTTTTTAAAAAAAGGAACTTGGGGAAAGAGGCAAAAAAATTTATAAAATAAATCTGTACAATGATCTACTGCATCATTAGTCACAGCTATTAATATGAAATAGTGAGACAGGTGTAATAAAGGCATGTAGGTATGTACATTATTACTTACAATAAGAAGGCTTTAAAACAGTCTTGATTAATTTAGAAACAAAAATAACTTGAAAAGCCCATCATGAAACTGGATGACTACCGGTACATTATTAAAATCACAGCCAAGGTTGTGCTCACAACTTTTAGTCAGCCTTGCACTTCAAGATCCTGTCCAACATCCAATTCATAGAAAAAAAGGCGACTCATTCACAACTTTCTGAGTTTTTGTAGTTCAATGAAGCATGATTGTTTCAGTAACTTAGACGACAGAAGCAATCATATTTTAATTGAGTTTTGGCATACATTAATAACGTTCCCTCTCTTCTTTTTCTTCCAAATATGTCTTTACAACTTGTCCAACCCAATCTACCCCTTTCCCTTTCATTTAATAACACAACTGTCCCTTTCTCACCTACTAACCCCTATCTTCCTTCTTTCCACTCCATCCTTCCCCTCCTCCCCTTCTCTTCCTTTGACTCCCTTCATCCACCTCCTCCCTCTTCCTTCCCCTCAACACCACCATCTCCCACACATACCAGTAAACCGTTATAAATTCATCTCTCTCCTTCCCTTTTCTTCTCCTTATCCCCTCTATAACTCTACCTTCTTTCCATATCTCTAAACACTACCTTCCCAAACTCCTTCCATTTAATAGAACGTTTACAAAACTCCCTTTTCTACAAACTCCTACTCCAGTTCTCCCTCCAGTTCACAAAACTCAGCTTTTGGTCCCCACCCATCAAAATCCACCCCCACCTCCTCCCTCCCCCCAAAAAAAATCACATCAGAAATATTAAGTACAATTAATTTCAGAAATATAAGGGTTTTTTTTATACATAGCAGCTGTGCAAAGAGCAAAACGACAGGAAAACTAGAGGAAGAAGCAAGAAAGCAACAGTAACAAATGTGATGACTAGGCCCAAAAAGGGAGTGGGGGGGGGGGGGGGGGGGGAGATGGGATGGGATTGCAAAACCAGTCTCTCCCACTGTCAGAAAAAGTTTTAAAAAGCATACCAGACCCTTAACTACTATGGCTATAACTTCAGTGTAGAGAGTGCAAGACGGGCAGAAGACTCTGTTCCATCATCATAGCCTCATCAACGAGCTGGGTCTACTCACTCACTCACTCAGATTTTACACACTAAACAAATACAGACACATGCACACACACAAGTCCTCAACTAGACTCTTGCTGCTTTTGCCTGGTGTACTCGGCTGTGAGCTCCTTCAGGTTCTGCTCTAGCATGACCACCTCGTCCATGCGCTGAGCCTGACGGGCCTGCTTGATGTAGCCCTTGATAATCTCCATCTGCTGTAGCATGGGGTCACTCACTTTCTGTGCTCGAGTGCTCTCTTCTACCGGCTTCCAACCTTTATCAGTCCCAACGCCGCCCTCTGAGTCAGACCGAGTGTGACTTTTAGACCCAGCGCTGTTCAGAATCTTGTTGGCAATCAGCTTACGCTTGCTCTGCTCCGAGCCTCCACTGGATCCTACACGACGATGACCAAACTGGGGACCTTCCTCCGCAGACAAAGCGTTGCCACTTTGACTATCCCGGGCCAAACGCTCACGTCGCTCTCGCTCCTGGGCATCCATGGCCGCCTGCCGCTCAGCTGCGATCTTCCTCTGTATCTCAGCTGCTCGGGCCTCACGAAGCTTATTGTACTCTTCCTCAGTAGGGAGGGCCTAAGGATGAGGGAAAAGAATACATCCCAGAAATTCGAAATGCTGTTCTTTCTGGAATATCGTAATCGTAATGTTCGTCTTGGCAAAACTCACACCCCAACCATTACCAAAAGAAATACAACAGAAAAGTATGCCTCTTCAGTTCGATAAAATGACAGCAGTTTGAACAGGCAGACATATTTTTAAATGAAAGAAAACCATTAGCAGATGAATTGTCATGATCAATACATTAAATGGCAAATTTGAATGTGTTCCCTCTATCAACTTGATACAAACAAGACCTTCAAGGACAGATGGCAACATCAAATAGTACATATGTATCAATTATCAATTTCCACACAAAGTACAAATACTCTGAACAAATATATGCAAACAAACATAATAAAACCTGCAAGGGAAATTTTGCTTCTAAGACTTTGAACATTTGAACAGCATACCAACTAAAAGTTTTATAACATATTTTGAAATAAAAACTCTTTTAACCCTATTACAGTCAGTGATAAGCTTCCACTGCGTCAGGAGAAAGTCTTATGAACAGGTGCACCTTCAGACATAAGAAATGAATACATATGATAAATACAAAGACCAGAAAACTATATACATTTGGAAAGCTCTTTGAAAAAGCTATGACGGATGCTGAAAAAATTTACGATTCAACATATCAGCAAGGTCATGTGTCCCCTAAAATCTTCCAGAAATCTTAAAAACTGCCAAGCACCCAACGAAGCCATTTTAATTGACTTGCAGAGTCACTGCTGCCGGCGGTTGTAAGATAAATTAAGGACAATATTTTTTGTTCCTCTGGTTCAAAAACAGTTGTCTAATAACTACAGGAGTTCCTCTTTTTAAAAAAAAAATTAGGGCACTTTTGTTCAGCGTTGGTATTTCCAGGGTTCTTGTCGACCATCTTAAGAAACTGCCAATGTTATCGGTAGTAACGATCTGGTGGCAAGCAGCACTTGCCAGTAATTAGGCTCCCTCTTTATCTCCGAGGGGGGTAAACCCACTATGCCGGGGCCCTTTTTTGGTACTAAATCTAAGAATGACGAAAACATCAGTAAATTGGTCATTAACTCTTTTCCTACAAGGCCAAAATCCACCACTGGCCCAGGCCCTGACCTATTATTAGGCCCCTACCCCACCAAGGAAAAATGTCAAAAAAATCCAACTAAACACACACAAACCATATCATAGGGCCCATCAAACTGAAGGTTAAAAAATAATTTATCAGATGGTGATACAATATTGAAGATTTATTCCAATTGTATTAGTTTGGAGTTCCTAAAAGTGATTATGCAGTACCGAAGGTGTCATATGAAATCAAAAATTTTCCAGCTTTGAAGGGTCATATCTAAAAAAGTACAAAAACAGCATCATTTAGACTTCCAAGGTAGGTTACCTCAAGTAGTGCAAAGAAATGCTGAAAAGGATGTATGTGTACCTTTTATAGAAGTGAAAATATGAGACATATACTGAAGTCAGGGGAGCGCTTTTCTTCTCATATTTACATTTCGAAGGGGACAAAAAAAGCCCTGAAATTACTAAAAATCGTCTCTCAGTGCTATATTTTCTTTCATACCTGCTAACAGGAAGTCTATTACATTATTTTGAAAACATGGATCGGCCGAGAATTTCGTGTCTTTTCATTACTGGATTGGAATAGAGAGCGAGCCACTCGAGCCGTATTTTGCGGCTCTCGGTCCAGCGAGGCCACGTCCGCGAGCCGCAAAATAAGGAAAGTGTAAAATCAAAACAAGTGAACCTGTGTTGATAGTTCTTCGTCTATTTAACGAAATCCCTATAAAAGAGAACCTGTTTTTGGCAATTGCCGAAAAGCAATTTGGTGCTGAAGACGTTATAAAGGAATGTGTCCGAGCCGCTGCCAGCGACTCACCGTCACGCAGCTGGGAGCGGCTTCCCGGAGATAAAGAGTTAAGAAGCAGCAAGTCCTCCAAAAGCTAAATCCATACCTGCCAACACTGCCTGGGCCAAAATCTGTAGTTGACACAAATTTTTGTCCAAAAATCTGTAGTTGACCTAAAAAATCTGTAGTAGGCTATATTACCACTTGCCACATACTTAATTGAGGACCCTTATCAATATTTTGACCCACATATACATGAGTGTATTTGCGACTTCAAACAAATGTCGAAAATAACAAAGAACAAAAAAACAAAAATTAGCAATGACTATGAAAAATTAAATTTTTATCAAGCTTAAATGAAAGAAGAGTAAATTCTAAAAACTGTGGTTTTAATTTTAAAAATCCATTCAAAAATTTAAAAGTTATTGGGATTTTTTGTTTCAAAATTTTGGGGGACTTTCATATAGGAAAATATTGCCAAAAAAAAGTTGGACGTTTCTTGATGTATTTTGAGGAAAAACTGTTCACAAGTCAGTAATGAGATGAAGTATATGAATGAAACTTGGCACTTCGAGTGACTTTTAGTGCAGAATCTAGTTCTGCTATCACTTTTTCGAAGTCTATCTTTGGATCTTTAAGACTAATACTAAGTTTGCATGAAAATATGTTGAATTGCGCGACATCGCTTGAACTGAGCCCGATCACCCCTCTACACTAGTGCTGGGTGGCACGGTTCCCGATTGTTGAAAGCTAGGAATCTTAGGAATCGACTCCGAACCCATTACTTACTTTCTAATGATGTGATTTCTTCCCGTGGTTGCCTGGTTGGCTCCGAACATCTTCAGGGTTTAGGATAACCTTGATTTCAGAACACAACGAAGCATCGACTTTTTTGTTTGTTAAATATATATTTTTTAAAAGATTTTAATTATTAAAGTAACTGGGAACCGTTGATTTACGTTAAAAGGAGTCGGAACTTTTCTTCCAGAGCATTAATCGTGGGAATCGGTTCCGGAATCGACCCTTCGCCCAGCTCTACTCTACACCTTAGCAAAGCAGTATCTGGAAAACCCGCAATGACGTCATTGGTAACCTGCTTAGTTTTAGCTGTTTTAACATTGTATTACTGTAAAACCCTCTAGTTTTAGGCAGTCAATCATATGCCGCCTAGCGATCACACACCTCATGCATGCCGGCAGCTCGCGTGTTCGGTCCGTGATCTAGTTTCCAGCTCTAGTGTTTTACCAATGGATGGGTGGTAATCTTAAATTGGTATGTAAAGTGTAGGCCTACTACACACAAAGATCTGAAATTTTACAGCAATAAAGAAGACATGTGGGGCGCTTGTCAGTGGCTTATCTCTCAAAATCGATGGATCAGCAGTTTGACAAAAAAGTCAGTAATATACCTATTTTTTCTGTAGGGTTGGCAGGTATGTAAATCCAGAAAAAAAATACTCTCTCAACTTTTCCATAACAGTCGCTTCTGTCTCTCACCTGCAAGCCCATGAGGTTTTCTTGCATGAAGTTGGATGCATAGATCCTGATAGACTTTTGCAAATGCAGTTGTCGGGAGTTGGTGTCAGATGGCACTGGCAGGAGCATGATCTTCTTGCTGAGGAAAGGAAAGAACAGGAAAAGAATGGCAATCCGAACTGAAGCGAATTTGAAGGGGGACTGGCCCACCAACATGAACATCATAATATATTCCACATTCTCATAATGATCACACCTCCTGTTCTGTTCTCCAATTTATACAAGTTGACTTTAGCTGTTACAGACAACAACAAAAACTACAAACCTAGAATTTAATCAGAGTAGTGATACAACAATAACAACAATAGAGTTATGAAACAGCAGGGCATGAGAGCAGTGGTGAGACAACAGTAGTAGAACTGCTAGGCAACAGAAGTGGTGGAGAGTTGTTTTTAAGTAAGAGTTTTACAGCACTTGCAACACAGTTAGGTCATTTAAGTGCCGAAGATTAGAGGTGTTACAAAAAAGTAACAAATGCAAAAAACACAAAGAAAAGGAACAGACAAAAGATGCTTGATAGGTAAAAAGGAACACACCACTCTTAAGTATCCGCCACGTGGAGAGTTGTGAGACGAAAAGGATACAAGAGGAGTAGTGAGTCAGAAGGAGTACAGACAGAAAATGCACAACGAAAAGAAGAAAAGCATACTGTGAGCATGAGGGAGGGAAGATGGTGGCAAAGGCCAGCTGAAACGGAGGAAGAGAAAAGAGGAAACAGAATATGGAAAGGAAAAAAGAAAAACAAAGGAGTTACAGAAAGTACAGATACATACCTGAGCTGATCCACAGCCTCGTAGAGTTTGACTAGTTTTGTTCTCATTATGAGAGCCTGTCGGAAGTTGTGGACCGTCTCACCTTGACTGTGGAGAGCAGGGGATGATAACACAGAAATTTAACAGAAACCTGGTTTAGCAAAAGAACAAATAAAAGGAAAGTAAGAAAGCAATGGATCTTATCCCACAAGTCTCTGTCACAAAATGTTAAGAATATTATATTTGAGTAGCATCTGAGAAAAAAAATGAGAATCCTGTCCACTTTCAGCGAGTAAAATAAAACTACTGAAATGAGAAAAACAATTTTTTAAATGTAGACAAGGGATACCATACCTTTAAATCTTGTGTTTGTGGAGCCGTCTCTTAGATTTTCATACTACTGTATAGCTTTAAAGATTGGAAAGTGGACATTGGGGGGAAAAAACATTTTAGAGTGACAGTTATCTATTGTCATTGCTATACCAAAAGCCAAAGTGGCAGCCATTGCATCAGACCTGCCAGATGGAGACGCTGAAATTCATCTTTAAAAAATAAGGCTGTGAGTTGCAGTTTTCTGTAAGTCTACAAGGTTACAGCAATATTTAACAAAGAATAGACAGGACAAGATTTCCACATATATTTGACAGGACAGACAGCTTTTCAAGAGCAACAGGCACTAACAAATCTCAAAGTGCTGTACATTGGTAAACACTTGAGCAAGAGATATCCCTTGACCCCATCACGAGCCTCATAACTCACCTGAGTGAGTCCACCATAGGCAAGTAGTCGGGCAAAATCTGTTCTGCATCAGAGATGCACATTTTCATCTTCTGCAATTGTAACAATATAAAAAGTCAGTTTTTATTTAGTTTTGGGTAAGAGTTTTATAGCACTTGTCACACAGATAGGTCATTTAAGTACTGAAGATTAGAGGTTTTACAAGAGATATATGTACACAAAAAAGGAGAAGAGATAAGGACGATAGATATTGCTTCCTTCTGAGCTAGGGAAGACTTTCAGAAATAGTAAAATCCTTCAAAGACAAAACATGTTTCAAAGGACCCTTTCTTTTAGGCCATGGGTCTAAAATTCGCAGCCCAATTAAGGCCCACAGGATGATATCTCATAGACCGTTCTGGACATCAAAATCTAGTGGTAGTGCGGCCCAAGCTTGGTCCATTTTTTTTAAATGTCCCCCAAACACCTTCCCTGAGCTTTCTATGACGTTTAAGCGGACCACGAGCCTTTTTGGTAGCACACATCAGAGTGAAACAATCTTCTCCATTACAAACTTTAATAAGTAAAAGTACAGAACCAAACTTAATGATGGGCATCTTTAAGCACTACTGAGGTGCTCGTTTGCTTCCTCCCTCAAGTCAAGTATAGCTGAGCTATGAAAGAGGTAGCAGTGCCAGATCTCTGGTAGCAAGGAGTACGTAATAAAAACCAATGATCTGAAGAACCATTCATGCTCTCCACTGCTATTCATAAAAATTGACAATATTAAATCACCCATGTCTGTGGTGACGCAGTTTGGCGCTTCACCATCATATGCAGGAGACTGAAATGGGGAGAATTTTTACAGAGTATATCGGCCTTTCTGCGGGAATGTTTCATCCATCTCAACCCCGCTGGCCCTGACAGGCAGGGTCAGAAGCATGCCTCCAAAACGATTTTAATTGTGTTGATGGGTACATTAAAAAACCCACCCAATTTGGAAAACAAAAGAAGGAAAATGAATATTAAATCAGATGTACTTTTTTTTTTTTTAGTAGAGGTTTTACGGCGCTCGCAACTGCATAAGGTCATATGAGCGCTAACGGGTGGATGTCAACAGAGAAGTCCTTACAGGGAATCAGACTTTATCTGCTCACCTCTCTAGCTTCAACAACACAAAGTCTGCTTCGACTATCAAGGCACCCAGGAAACAGTGGATCACAAGAGTGTGACAAACATACAAAAGAAGTAGAGGAAAAATGACAATAGTAAGGATTAGGAAAGAAAAAGCAGCAGTTCCCTGTTGTAGATCAGGCACAGTTATGAGCGTGACATTGATGAATCAGCCCAGTTACAATTCTACTGTGCATGAACGAGAAATGTCCCCCCTTTGGGAATGGCCTAAAGACACTTCAGTCAGTGGCACGGCCCCGCGGGGAAGTTGTACTTTGATTTGGTGAAATACTTGATGCGGCCCAGGCCCACCCATACTCTCCCTCCAAAAGCCCCCAAGTAATTTGAGTTTGAGACCCCTGTTTTGTACAAAGAAACAAATCAGACTGCCCAAGGAGAATACATCTGAAGGTTTAATTCTTGTCAGTTAGTCAAACTCAGTCAAACGGATGAGACAAATTCTATTAAAAAATATACAGACACCACTGTTTAGACTGTCACATAAACCTTTCAACTATCACCCATTGCACAGAGACTCACTAATAAGAGGCAAGATGTCAACTTATAATTAGAATCACTGCTTTTTCTGCGTCACTTCTCAAGTGTATCTGGGTCATATATCAGTCGAACGTATCTGGATTAAATATTAGCTTGACAGTATGCTCCAGGAAGTAGGAAAAAAAGTCACATATGTAAAAATCAGTGGCACTACGAGTTGACATACCAGCAGTCAACAACCCCCTCCCCTTCCCCCCCCCCCCCCCCCCCCCCCGAGATCTAACGGGGGAACGAAAAGAAGTAGAAGACAATAGTACTCAAGAATATGTGATGTTGAAAATGTGACAGGAGCGTTAAATCACAATAATAGGCCAAAACATATGACAATGATCACAAGCTAAAAACCTACGTCATAGATCTGCACAATAGCAGGCTTGGTGTTCCTCTGCTCCGTCATCACGTCTCGGCGTTCAAGCAGTTTACGACACGTCTTGCACACCCGCATATGTGACTCCCCGTCTTGGCTCACAAGAGAGTTGATGCTGGTGTTGCTGCTGCTACGTTTAAGGAAACCCTCACCAGAGAAGTTGTGGCCCGGGTTCACCAGTTTGTCTGAAAAGAATACATCATAATTATAGGGGGTAAATATTATTAAAATGCACAAGTTAGAAGCCCCATTTGAATGAGTCAGAAGAGCTTAAGAGGTTCCTACACTTTTGATTGTGAGGATTGTCCATTCTGCATTGAAAAAATGAACGGCAATCATACATCATTTCATAACAACTCGCACATTTCAGGACCAACAAAAATACTGGTACCCTTTTTCAATTATGCCTTTCTTTCCCTCAAATTTGTTTCTGGGATTTTGAAAAACTTCATTTCCTGTCCATTGCTTTCACAGCTTTTCGTTGATCTCTTGTGGCGTCATGTGTGAAGGGATATAACTTCTATATATATTTTTAGATCCAAAACAAATTTTAAAAAGCTTTTCTCCCCTTACATACAAGCTCCTGACAACTGACACTCTTTCATTTTAAAAAAGCAATAACTACAAAACTGTTTTTCAAACAAAATAGCGCTACAAAGTCAAAAAAGCTACAGCAAAAGGGGGGTAGGAGGGGTGGGGATCAGGGTGTTAGGAGAAGGTCAGATTCCTATCGGGGAATCAGAAAGATGCAGAAGAAGCTGCCAATCAGATTTCAATACAAGAAGGAAGATCTGGCTGGCCTGCTTCCTCTGAACTTTCATTTTCTGATGAATATTAGCCTATGCAGTCTATGCTGTATTGCCAGTCCATATGTTCAATGTCTGTGAAGATCACAGGATTATTAATATTTTACACTTATTTAATAATAAGAGTGACATCCTCTAAAAGAGCAATTAAGTTTGAGTCAATTCTGATCAAAGTTAGGTTGGGGTTTTTTTGTAAGTGTTTTATGGCACTCGCAACTACATAAGGTCATATGAGCATGCAGGACACATTAAACATTTTTCAGTTCGTAGGGAATTTTCAATTTAGCACGGGTGGCCGCTGAAGCCTACTCTTATTGATTTTAGGACCACCAAGGGATCTTTAACATGCACAACTTGCACACAGGACCTCCGGAATTTTTTGCGGTTATCCGAGAAGGCTAGGTATTAGATCTTACTTACCATAAGATGAGGGGTATGGATGAAAGACAGCAGTGAGAAGGAGCCGAGGAGTAGCAGTAGAAAGGCTGCAGGAAGAGTCAGGAGTCCAGAGGCAAAGGGGGAGGGGCCAGAAAGTGGAGACGAAAGCCGACCATAAAATATGGTTTGAGAGCAGGAAAGGGGGTGAAAGTAAAAAATTTTTTAGATTCGAATCCAGGACCTATTGAATGAGAGGCAAACATCATAACCTCTTGACCACGAGAGCCCCCTCAAAGTTAGTATCCAGCGTTATCATAGTTGATAGATAGAAACACAAGATTTCACAGATGTACTTGATCACCATCCAGATTTATAGTGATAAATTAACAAATAAATATTCCAAGTTTGAAGGGACTTAGACCACATGCTCCATGTGACGTCCATTTTGGGCGATACACACTCTGAGGCACTTGACGAAATTGTCGATGACATTTCCCATTTGTTCAGCCTTTCATGTACCTGGATCTTGCATGGTTAAAACTTCAGATCGTACTTCAAAATGCGCAAAACAGATTCTCTAACAATGGTATGAGTCAATATTTTAACGATGAACTGACTTTTTAGGTTCTTCGCTCACAGACTCTATCGCCACTGCCGCATTCTCAGGAGGGCGCACTTGCATTAGTCTCCTACTGTGGGTGACCCTTGTTTTTTATTTCTTGTTTTTATTTTCAATAGAGCCATGTGACTTGAAGTCAGCAACCCCCTTTTAAGTATGGTTACTTTATTTGGCACTTTCTCACGATCTTTGGTGTTAATCCCAAACCGTTCACAGAAGAGATTCCGTGTCAGCATAGAGGACCTTGTTTCAATACATGTTTCAATCATAAAAATACGCTGTTCAACAGTGAACTGTACTTTGGAGTAGCCATGGCTGCCTCCATGGTACTGTTGTTTTTGTTACGTACTTCTCCTTCTGAATGGTTCAGCTTGCTTCTAGTCAATTTTTGTGTGAATTGTGCAAAGGTTTTTTTGGTCAGTAGGTATTGCTGAACATAATCCACCATGGAAGTGTAAAAAAGCAATATGTGCATACAAGACATCCTAGTTTTTTTAGCCTGGTTCAAGAAGACAAGTGTTTCAAGCACAAACCCCTGAGAAAAATCTGAACAAAAAACTACAACTCAAATCATTCACCAACCAAACTTATAAACACTTAAAAACAGACCTAGACTTTTGCAGAACAAGCATGCATTATGCAATAACATTAAGGCAAACAAGCCCTCACATTCATGGAATATCAAAACCAAAATTATCAACTCTAACAAGAAAGCGAAAAAGGAAAAAAAAATACCTCATTTCCACATAAAGTCCTGGAAGACTGAAAGAAATAAAAGACTTGAAATAGACTCACGAGCGTAGGAAGAAGCCATGAACTCGGAGCATCGGTCACACATAATCCTTCCGCAGAGTCGACAGTGGTGTCTGCGGGTGAGCAGGCCAAACGACCTGCCACAGCTCAGACAGGCGGAAACTTCGTTGTCGGGGATCCATTGCACTACTGCACGCTCAAATGCTGAACAGATATGATGGAAACATGTGCAACTGAGACAAAAAAACATGGATATAGCGTTTAACACTTTGCTGTCCCATCTCGCCGATCAGTGATGTTTACCACCCAGTTTCTTTGAATTTTCCCCAAAATGCCTTTGCCTTTGATGGCAAGGCTTTTTACTATATTAGCCTTGTGATGGCAAAGTGTTAAAAAGATATATTAAGTCCACGAATCTCGAACACGAAAGTCATCAAACATAATGCTCGGTCCCATTTCATCCCCTATGTTTTCTTTGTATCGATTTCATGGAGTCCCCGAGCACACAACACTCGAACCTTGGACAAATCCACTTCACATTCTCAACTAAAGACCAAGCTTTACAGCCTTTCTGGCCGCGGATAGGTATTTCTTTGTTATTGTTACAGCCAAAACGTGGTCCTTGTCTCACCGGGAGTGGGTGGAGGAATGGGGGACAGGGAAGGGGGGTTGGGGAGCAATCATGCTGTGGGACACTGGCGGTGCCGATGGCAAGAGGCGTAACTTTCTGTAAGCCAATGAAATGAGAGGAAAGGAATGACGTAGGAGTCGGCGGTGTATACGTGAAGTTTTCTGCTTTCCACTTTCATTCATCTTGCAATTATGAACAAATCAACATTGAGTGAATTTAAAGTGGTATCAGAGAAAGATGTCATTAAGTATATCAATGAGTCCCCCGCTAAAACATGCGACTTAGACCCAATACCCACTTCATTGTTAGTTACGTGCATAGAAGATCTCGTACCATATGTTACTCGTTTTATTAATATGTCACTCACCACTGGAATCGTACCTGATCTTTTCAAACAAGCCATTGTAAAACCTTTACTTAAAAAACAAGGTCTTGATGAAAACGACATGAGAAATTTTAGGCCAGTTTCCAATCTAAACTTTTTATAAAAAATCCTGGAGAAAATCGTTTTGTGTCAAGTTCAACAACATCTAAAGGCCAATGACATGGAAGAACCTTTTCAATCTGCTTATAAAAGGCACCACAGTACGGAAACCGCTCTTTTAAAGGTATCATCAGATGTTTTAAATGAAATCGATAATAAAAAAGTCTGTGTTTTGGTTCTGCTTGATTTGTCAGCGGCGTTCGATACCATCGACCACGAAATTTTACTAGAGAGATAGGAAAAGTCATTTTTACTATCAGGTACTGTTCTAATGTGGTTTAAATCATATCTAGACAATAGATTTATGTCAGTGAAAATTGGCAATGATGTGTCAGATAGGTTACCTCTAAAATACGGAGTTCCTCAGGGTTCGGTCCTTGGTCCTGTCATCTTTACAATGTACACGCAAAGTCTGTCATCAATAATTTCTTTACATGCCCTCAATTACCATCTTTATGCAGACGATACACAGCTGTATGGATTCACTACAACTGACAATGTACACAATCTCATAGATAGAATCGCCAGATGTATCAATGATATAAGAAAATGGATGTTCAAGAACAAATTAAAATTAAATGAGGATAAGACCGAAATATTATTTCTTCGTAGCAGCGCATGCAATGAAATCGACAATATCAGAATAAACATCAATGGCCACGAAATATCAGCCCAAACTAAAATAAGAAATTAAGGTGTGGTGCTAGATCAAGATATGTCAATGAAATACCATGTATCCAATCTTTGTAAAAATCTATATCTCCAGCTGAAGAAAATAGGGAGCATTAGAAAATATCTATCTGTTGGTGTCACCAAAACTTTAATAACATCACTTATATTGTCAAGGATTGATTATTGCAATTCCTTACTGGCTGGTGTACCTGATGAACAGTTACAACAACTACAAAGAGTACAAAATACTGCTGCCAAAATAATTACTAAAAAACTAAAGCATGATCATGTGACTCCTATTTTAAAAGCATTACACTGGCTCCCAGTGAAAGAGCGTACCATATATAAAATCTGTTTAACTTGCTACAAGTGCTTAAATGATTTATCACCGGACTATCTAAAACAGCTTTTAACACCCTATATGCCTCCTAGAACGCTCAGATCATCTAGTGACAAAACAACCCTTGTTAAGCCTAAAATAAATTTCAAATCATATGGCCAACGCTCTTTTTCATATTTTGCCCCACTTGTTTGGAATAGGCTTCCAAAAACTATCAGAGAAGCAGAAAATCTAGAAATTTTTAAGAAGAAACTAAAATCATTTCTATTTTCATCATATTTCGATTAGACAGAATGCATCCAAGCTGTAGATCGTTGTGAGTTTGTATGTGCATATGTGCATATGTATGTATGTATGTGTGTATGTGAGTATGTATATGTTTGTGGTGCGTGCGTGAGTGAATATGTGTTTGCATGAGTATGTAACACTACGTATCTTTAAAATTGATTTGTAAATCCATTATATGTATCATGTTAAGCGCATAGAGCATTGCATAAGTGGATATGCGCTATATAAATGCAATCCATTGTTATTATTATTATTTTTTATCTTCTTGCTTTTACACCGTCAAAATGTTCATCAGTGGAGCTAACCATGTTAATTGTCTTAATGTTCTTTTTTTACAATGCCTCCCTTGAATTTCACTCTATTTCTTTGTATTAGGGGCTTTCAAAGATATGACAAATTACGGAAATCTCGAACCCTATTCCCAATCCCCGACGAATTCGAGTTACCCGTGTTCGACTGTATGTACATATGGGCTATTCACAAACAGTGAGCAGTTTCCCTGAAAAACAATACAAAGGAAGGATTTGGGGTATTTTCAATTACAGTATAAACTGCCCAAAAAAGTTAACTTTTTAGAACCATGGAAACATTTGCATGGGGATTCAAAATTTACTAATTATATTATCATCTAACGCAATTTGGTGTTAAGACTATTTTCATATAAAGTGCAATATCATGCACAAAAAGAGTCTTAAATATATATAAATGTTTAAGGAGAAATACATTACAAAATCAAGACAACTTCAAAAATTCCAGATTTCCAGATTTATCCAGAATAAGGGCATCGATGCCTTGTTCATCATACTCAAGCTTTCATTTCGACATGATGGCCACAAAACAAGTACATAAATATGCATATTACTCCGCAAACGTTTGAAGGTCATCACGTACCGTTTTTTTCTTCTTCTCTTGTTTATATTTATAAACTGCCAGCCTTCATCACAATTATATGTGTGTATTTCAACATAAATGGTACTCAATAACGCTGTGTTTTCAGAGGAAGTCATGCTAATGCATCCACACAATCTGGTTCATAAACGAATAATCTCATAAGACTAAAGGCATATCGTTATGATGACAAATACCTTCTGTGACATGAAATGACTGTACCAGCTCATATTTAAGATATTATTCAACCTACAGGAAAATCTATCTGTTTTGAAATTCAACATTTGAACAGAACACCACATTTCAAAATCATAATTAGAGACATTAGGTAACAGCATGGGACATGTTCAGCCTTTTCTACATTCATCCGATTACTCTTTTCAACATATTCCTCTACATTTCATATATCCTTGCATTTTAACCAGAAACAGAAAGTCATGAAACGAAAAGTCAAAGAAGACATTTTGCTTCAATTGATATGGGGACTTTAAGATTTAAATATGTCAAGGATTTCTATGAGGTGTTAATCACAAAACAATGCGAACATATTTCAGCCTCTTGTAATCACAAACGTAGGGGTAGCATAACTTACAAGTAGGCGAGCAGGAAATTCAACCAGCTTTGACAAAAAAATAACCACAAAGTCACCAACCTTTCCGTTTCTTTGGATCTGCAGGAGCCTCTGGACTAAGCAGTTTATCAAGACGTATAAGAAGTTTGTTCGTTTCCACCACAAAATGGTCCACGCGGGCATCTCGCACAGACTTGAATGTGTCTGTATGGCTTCGGATGGCACCTGATAAATGCATTTGTAATTAGTGTGAGTGATATATGCCAGGAGATGGAACAAAACTGAGAAATGTTAACCTAATTTGTCTGAATACAACGCACTTCCAGTAAGTTGGTGTACTGGCCTGTGGCTCGGTAGAGTCAATGATAAATTCTTTGTTGGGTAGTAAATTCACCTGGTTCAATAGCTGATAAGCACCACTGACACACAAGAAGGAATCATACAGAGCAAGCATATCAAAGACACAGTCTGCAGGCCATATGCAGCCTGTTACAAGTATGTATGTAGCCTGCACAAAACTTTCTACAGCACCAGCAATTATGAGTGGTGGGTTTGGTTTGCAGCCTCATCTAAACTTCTTCCCCAACAGTCACTTCAAAATTAAGCACAACATTATGTACGTCCAGTCCACTCACCTAACTCCTGTTCCTCCCACCATGAGGGGTCATAGCCAGACAGACCACCAAGCTCCTCTCTCTTCGCTGGTTCACCACCAGGTGTCAGCTCTGTTTCAAGCTTGTCTCCAAGGATACGCTTTTTGGCTTTGTCAAAGAAACCTGAAAAGGGAATATAACTATGTAGGTTAGAGTAGTTCTCACAACCATAATGTATCTTTCCTTTTGTTTGTATTGGTAAGTGTTTTACGGCGCTCGCAACTGCATAAGAAAGTATCTTTCTCTTTATTGGCCTTTTAGTTTTTTGACTCAATACCAAATTTTTAAGCAGAAATAGAAAAATACAAAATTGAGAAACAACATAACAAATGATTTCAAAAGGGTAGGTTCTAAATGCTATTAATTAAGCTACACAACAGCCAGAAATAGCATAAACTTGAATCTCAGTAGCAGACATTGCAACGTTAGAACTGAATCGAAAGTGTTAAATCAGGCATATCCAAATATATATATATATATATATATATATAAAAATATATATAATATAAGAAGATCCCAGTTTCTAGACAATTTGTTACTTACCTTTCAATGACTGGAACACTGCTTTGTCTTCTGAAGAATGTTCCTCCTCAAAATGCCCTTGCAGCTGTGAGACAGTTCCCAGGTCCTTCATACAGATGGGACAGAGGAAACCCTCTATGATGTCCGCCGACATGGTGACAGCTTGCTCCCCCCCTCTGTAATCAGGTAGTGAAGTAACAAGAAGGAAAGAGATTAAAATGCCATTGCTAAGTAACAATTTACAACAAAGGGGTACAAATACAGATAATTTTTGACAAGGTGATAACCTGGACAATAATATGGCACCAGAAAAACAGAAGAGGAGGATGAGCAGACTGTAAGCCAGAAAACTTAGAATAACCCCCCCCCCCCCCGTCCCAAAAAAAAAAACCATACACACACACACACATATGGGTGCTATTTGCAGGATGTGGTGATGTTGTCAGAAAGTGAAACCTGGTTGTGTTCAAGCATCGGCAGTAATGTTATGCACAGTGTCTGAGACTTTTTTCCCCTCAGACTCTAGAAGGAAGGTGGCTCTTGGCTCTTTTTTTGTCTATTTATTTTATTTATTATAGTAGAGGGTTTTACAGCGCTCGTAACTGCATAAAGTCATATGAGCGCCAAGGGGTGGGTGTCAACAGAGAAGTCTTTACAGGGAATCAGACTTACTCTGCTCACCTCTCTAGCTTCAACAGCACAAGGTCTGTTTCGACTATCAAGGCACCCCCGGAAATAGCAGGTCACAAGAGAGTGACAAACATACAAAAGAAGTAGAGAAAAATGACAATAGTAAGGATTAGGAAAGAAAAAGCAGCAGTTCCCTGTTGTAGATCAGGCACAGTTATGAGCCTGACATGAATCAGCCCATTTACAATTCTACTATGCTTGAACGAGAAATGTCCCCCCTTTGGGAATGGCCTAAAGACACTACAGTCACTGGCACTGCCCCGGGGGGCGTTTTTTTTCTGGACAGTTGTTTTGAGAACAATAAACAAGAGAGGGGGGGTGCACACATTATAGACCAGTGTCAGTGTTCACAGTTTTTGAGTTTTTGCCAAAAAAATTCGTTGGACCGTTTTTACAGTAATGGAGGTTGCTAGTTGCTATTTAGGCAAAATGGTTAATTGTTTAACCCTATCTGTACATCTTGTTATACTATCGTATCCATATGATGAGGGCAACCCTGTGCCACCACTTTCCCAAGAGAAAATTTACTTGTTAATTCGATCCGTACGCTGTGCATAGCAGTCTGTCAAAAAGATTTTTCGAGAAATACTGAAAGTTTCAAAGAGATCTTCCTAATAGAAGTATTCCAAAATGTGAAGAATACAACCCAGGGGTAGAAAATGACCCCAGGGCGTACGGATAGGGTTAAGGGGGTATTATTTAAGAAAAATTTCGTTGCACACCGAAGTTTACTGTTAGGTGGCTGCTGCTCTTATCTGGTCTGCTGTAAAGTAGACACCACTCTATTAAAAATCCCTCTTTATATGTAAAATTGATGTCACGTAGGCCCCAACCATATATTCTCAACTGAGTCAGTGTGAGATGGGGTGTAAAACTGCTGTAACTGAAAAAATGTAGTTTCAGTCAGCAGGAGAGAGTAGTGCCTGCTTCCGCCAACCCACAAATGCTTTGTCAAGAGGTAAAGATTGAATTGTAAAGATTTACTAAGTTAATTCACGTCTCTACTCTATCCATGACAATCTTTCTATCAGCATCCTTGAGTCGTAGGCACAACTGAGGCAAGGGATAGAAACACCACTGAATGAACACGAGTATGGAAAGGACAGGTACAAATATACGAGGGCTGTCGCACGGAAAACCAGAAAGAGGTCCATAAAAGCAACAATCTTTGTCCAATTATAATTAATTATGTAACACATCATACTTCAACATGTACTTTATTTCTCGATGTAATCACCATCCCGCTGGATGCATTTTCCCATTGCTGGATCAGGGAGAAGATACCCTCCCTGAAGAATTTTCCGCAGAATATCAACCAATCTTTCACGGTTTCCACGAGGTCTTCGTCGTTGGTGAATTGCTGTCCAGAAATATGGCGTTTCATTGGTCCAAAAAGGTGATAATCCGACGGGGCCAAGTCAGGACTATGAGGGGTGTGTGGCAGAACTTCCCAGCCGAACCTTCGGATCCAGTCTTGGTAGCGTTTGCAGTTTGTGGCGTTGCGTTGTCAGGCTGCAAAATGACCCCCCTGGACAACCGGCCTGGTCTTTTTCGGCGCACAACCTCTCTCAACTTATCAAGAGTCTGGCAGTATCTGTTAGCATTAACAGTTTGTCCTGGTTCCAGAATGTCAAGAAGCAGAACACCTTTTGGATTCTAGAAAACTGTGGCCATGAGTTTCTTCATCAATGGCTGAACTTTTAAGCTTTTTCGGGGGAGGTAAAGACGTGTGCTTCCAAACCATTGAATCCCTTTTAAACGAAACTTGACAGGGGTCCATGTGGTGTATCCAAGTCTCATCACCTGTAATAATGCTTCTCAGGAATGCTTCATCGTATTGTTGGAGGTCTCCAGAGATGCGTTCATGACTCCATGGACAGCTTGGCGACAACGATTCAACAAAGTCTGAGACACTTCAACACGTTGCGTCTTGTGGTCAGCTGTCAGCTCTTTTGGGACCCATCGAGCAGAGACCTTTCGATAGTGCAGTTCATCAAACACTATCCTATGGACAGTCGACTTTGGAATGTTTAGCGATTCGCAAATTTCAAGAATTTTTAGGCGTCTGCCTGTCTGATCTAGTCAAGGCTAGGGCATACTCCTACCGGCTATTGTTTGGCTCAATTGAACGACTGGAACACCATCATGAATACACAAAAATCCAAAACCAGATCTCTGTTCTAGACTCTAGGCCTAGTGCTGGCCTAAATCCTAAAACGGAGCGTCTACGTACACGGTAATCGGGCATCTAGTCTCAGTTTCTACGTACACTGTAAACTGGGCACATAGTCTCAGTATCTACGACAGGCTACGTACACGGTGACCGAAATGAAAATAAATCAATATTTGTCCTGTGCTGTCACTTGCTGAAAAAAAAAAAAGGCATCCAAAAGCGTCTTGTCGGGTTCGCCATAGTGACCGGTCAGTGAACCTGTGCGTTCGCATTACATAATGAGTACCGGTTGGGGTCACCAAAGTTCATTCAAGGTCTGTGCGCTTTGAGGTATAGGGCTCCGGAATGGGGGGATTATTGATTTTTTAAAAGGTACAGTCAGGGGAGGGGTGGGGTTGAAGGCAACACCGGATGACAAAATCTGAACTTGGGAGTTCTGAACTGCCCGGTTATCGTGTACGTGACACTGAGACTACATACCCGGTTGCCTGACACTGAGACTATGAGCCCGGTTGCCAGTTACCGTGTACGTAGACACTGACGCTAGGTGCCCGGTTACCTTGTACACACATTCCTAAAAAGGCCCAGGCCTGCACACCAGTAGGAAGTACCATCATGTATTAAGATCTCTAGATCTAGATCTAGATCTAGATTAGTTAGCCTAGTTACATTATCATGGAAGAGGCTAGCCGTACTTAATGACGGCTAGACTGGCGTACTTTTTAATACGGCTAGACTGGTTGGCCAGCCGTACTTAAGTACGGCTAGACAGCTGGGCTAGCCGTACTTATTCTTATGATGGCTACACTGACCAATTTTTTAAAAATAGGCCTACTGAATTGTAAATATAAATTTTTAGTTTGCAGTACCTAAAGTATATATTTGTATTTGAGACGAAACCAGGTGCCTTAATGACAGTGCATGTATTTTAAACCTCCTGTTTTCTAATGTTAATAGGGCCTAAGATAAGTACGGCTAGACTAGCAGTCTAGCCATACTTAAGTACGGCTAGACTTCTTGGCTAGCCGTACTTAAGTACGGGTAGACAGCCAGGCTAGCCGTACTTAATATTGATTCCTGAATTGTAAATGAAATTTTTAGTTTGCAATGCCTAAAGTATTTGTATTTCAGACAAAACCAAAAGTTGCCTTACTGACTTGCATGTATTTGAACCTGAATAATTACTAGATCTAGATCTAATGAGACCTGTGTACTTAACAGGTTTGAGTCGATAGGGCCAAACCTAGATCTAAGTACAGCTTGACTGGCAGTTTAGCCGAGTACGGCTAGCCACTTCGTATTATTGTTGGGCGCGATCTGTCGATTTGCTCGATCCATCGACCGCGCAGCACATTTGGTTGATCGAGGAAATGCGCGACAATCCATCGATTGTTGCGCATTCTGCTGATCAGCGGATCGCGCAGCGCTTTTTGTCGATCCGTGAAATGTTATAAATTATATATATATACTTACAACTTACTGCGCATTCTGTCGATGAACTATGATGACGAAGTGAACTTAAAAAAAAGAAAATTGGTTTACTGAGCACGTCAGTGAGTGATACTCACCGACCTATAGGCCTAACCCTGATTGCACTCTCATTAGATCTACCCAATAGCAGTGTCTAAGTACATGGAAACCGACAACTCAGGGTCTTTCCATCAACACTACAGCATCATCATTACTTCCACCACCATTTGTCTTTCCACATATTTAATTTGATTTTGTTGAGTGTTGAGTTTTTCTGTAATTTCTTTTTAATCACATCGCACAAAATCGACAGCCGTGACCTCTTCCCAACACAGGGGGGACCAGTTTAGATAGATCTAGTAACTGGATATTAAAGCTCACGTCTGAATTGTTGTCATTATAATCGAAAAAAATGTTAATAAATGCTGGAAATATTTAGAAACAAGGGTCGGGAGTCGGAACGGACATCATACTGGACTCAAATCAGAGCCCGAATATATTTTTGGCCGGCACTATTTCTCCGAACGTTCGGGAAAATAATGCTGGGCACTATTTCTCCGAACGTTCGGGAAAATAAAGCTGGGCACTATTTCTCAGAACGTTCGGGAAAATAAAGCTGGACACTATTTCTCAGAACACTCTGAAATCACATCCTTTCCCGCAAAATTTTGGATATTATGTAGATCTATAATAAAAGTATAGGCCTACCAAAGATTGTTCGTGTACAATATGGTTCAATCGGTCCAAAAAATGTCCGCAGTAAATATTTATATAAAAAGAAAAGCTACAGTTCCAAACAGTTTTTCGCTACAGCTATGACGTGTTGCCTGTGATTTGTGAAGAGTACTGCTCTTAAACTTAACTTAATGTGTTGTGTTCACTCGTGTGCTGTCTAGATCTAGATCTAGATCTAGATCTACAGAGGGTATTGATAACGACACATAGAACTAGCATCTGTTTTTGTCGCGGCCGCGACTTATCAATCGCGGCTCGATTTTTTGGTCCCCCAATCGGGGAATAAAAGTCAAAGAAAAAAAAGAAAAAGAAAAAAAAGAAAGAAATCGAACCTCTTTACTTTTGAAAGAAAGCTCATCTAGCTTCACTTCGTCTCTTTCTCACTTGTTGTCACACGCGTTAATTCGTCGAATACGTTACAGTTACTTTTATTATTCCCTCTTTGTTGTGTTTTATTTTGTTAGTGCGTATTTTTTTCTTTCATGTTATTGTTCTGATGTATTGTTTTTCTATCAATTTTTTATTGTTGGGGGAAAAAAAGGGGGGTGGGGGGTATTGTATAGTGTAACGTCATTTAATTTGATGTTCCTACCTTCATTAGATTCTAAATATATATATATATACATATATTATATATATAGATTTAAATGTGTTATGTTAGTTAGAGCGTACGTTCCACCAAAACCGATTACATGTACTGACACTGGCAGGCCCCTTAATAATGTGTGTGATTCCATAATTTACTTGTAATATCCTGTACTTTGTTTTAAAATTACGCACATTTAGGGCTAAAACAGCCAATCTTCTTCAGACAGGTGGACTCACGCCCTTATTTGTTAATTTTTGTGGTTGTTTATGGGCTGTTCTAATTTTGATTTCATTCTGTTGTGAAACCTTTCTTTTTCACGTTTTTACACTCATCTAACAATCTCTAGACTAGCTCTTGAAAATTGAAATAGATATGGACCTAAAAATTTGCTCCTGTGTGTGCATGTGTGTGTATGCATGTGCGTGTGTGTCTGTGTGGTAGTAAGTGTGTAAGTGTAAGTGGAGAGTGAGGAGCGTGTGTGTTTGTTTGTTTTTCGGGCTTTATTTCAGCCTTTATTCAGTAACACTTCAAAGTATACAAAAATAGAAACACAGGATCCATTCACTCCAGGGCTCATGAGTCATTCCTCTCTTTCAGTTTCACTAAATTCATTCAATTCTCGTGTTCTCCCCCGCGGCTCATCCCCGTCCGCATGACTTACACACCCCACCCCCTCCCTCCAGGCACACACAAAGAAAATCTCACTCATTCCCTAGCACCCTGCGAACCATGGACAATAATATAGGCAAACCACTGCCTTAGCCGCATTCCTTTCGTTCGTGAGCTGTGGACCAGGCCAGGGGGGTCGGTGTCGTCGTCTTGTAGTTGCTGACGCCTGTGGATACACTCGTACATTCTTCCTTTCACCTGCTCTGTCACTGACACTGTTTCTCAATCCACAGCTCAGCTCGTCATACGTTGTGTGTGTACATGTGCATGATGGTGGTTGGTGTGAAGTAGGTGTTACTGAAGGTTGTCTGTAGGCGGGCTTGCCATGCAGTGTTCCTTCCCAGACCAGAGGCACAGGCAGAATGAAAGTTGGCGCCGAACTCTTGCAATAAATAGGCAAAAAATCACGAGACCGGAAGCCAGAAACCGTTCGGAGAAATAAAGATCGGCACTATTTCTCCGAACGTTCGGAGAAATAGTCACTTCGTATATTTTTTGTCTATTCGGACTCGAATAGTCACTTGGATTAGTTTGTTATTGTAACCCTGACTTCCAGTTACTTCCATTCTGTTTCGGTTTGACTTTGGAAAGTGAAACTAAATTACACACTGGACGACAACAAAACATAACAAAACTCAGGGATAAGATCTATAGAATGCGCAACCAAACGGATCGACATAAAGCGCTGCGAGATCCTCTGATCAACAGAATGCGCAACAATCGATGGATTGTCACGCGTTTCCTCGATCAACCAAATGCTCTGCGCGATTGATGGATCACGCAAATCGACAGATCGCGCCCAACATTATCATTAGAACTAGACGGTGAAGACTCTAGATCTAGATCTAGATCTAGTCTGCGACACTTTCTCACTCGACGAGGTTCTTCTTTCTATTTTATGTCCTCATGGGACGCCGATCGGTGCGTGGGTAGAAAGTGTTGAGGTTAGAATCTAGATTCTAGATCTAGATTACCTAAAGGAAGTGGCTATTCTCACCCGGGGTCAGAATAAAAATATGATCTACCTCTCACCCCGGGTGAGACTTGCGAGCGTAGGCTATTCTCACCCGGTGCGAAACAAGACCTGTTTTTCCTCATTTTGGAATACACTGTCTATCGGTGTGGATGATCAAATTGATAAAAGCCAAGAAAAAATTATGTTAAAAAACAAAACTAAATTGATTTGGTTGTCTACAAAGATGCTACGGCTATTTAACTTCCGAATCGTGCCGAACTACGCGGGTCGCCATTTTGTTTTGCCCGGAAGTTCTCACTCTCCACTGCCCACAGACAAAATTGCACGCTTTTAGGCTAACACTAAATATTCTAGATCTAGAAATCTAGATCTAGATTAGATCTAGATCTAGATCTAGATTCTAGATCTAGAACGTTTGTTCACAGTACAGAAAAATTATGTAATTCTGTTATCACAGTGTAGTGTAGAATTCAGTGATTCAGGGTGAACGCTTCACTGGTTGGCCGAGACTATAACGGTGAACGCCCACCGGGTGAGAATAGCCAAAAGACTCGCCTGCGCTATTCTCACCCGGGGTGAGAATAGAGGTGGCCTTATCTAAATCTAAATCTAGAATCTAGATCTACGGCCTGAGTATAATAAAACAAGCTTCACAAAAGACAAAAAAGCAAGTGTAGATTTAGAATCACTAAGAATCTAGATCTAGATCTCTAGGTCTAGATCTAAGTGCACTCGTTTAAAAACACAATGACCTACTGCTCAAAAAAGGAACTTACCCTGCTTCTAAACGCTTCAAATTTCCACTCCCCTGTTTGAAAAAACCATTCATTAACAGTTGTACGAAAGATTTGTCACTTTTCTTTCAGTAAATAAAGTGCCATAGCCCGGAAGTACCAAAGTGGGTGGGCTTCCGTTATTGAGCTATTTGATTTTGATGAATAATCTCCCTTAGGCCTAACACATCAAAATAATACATTTCCATGAGTCTATCCCTTGGAAAACCAGAGATACTAAAATACTCTCTGGGAAAACTGAAAAACTACTTATTAAGATTCGGATGAGTCCCGACTTCCGCACCGGTCCCTCATGTTTAGCAACATTATCACTTTTCAATTCTCCTGCATTTCAGGCCGTAACATTTTAATCTAAGCTTTACTCCTTTTCAATAGCTACATTATTGTGGAATGTAATGATCTAATATATTGTTACTGAGAGTTGTACCGGTAAACATTAGCTATTAGAACATCATAACGATGACAATGATTTATTGAGAGCAAGCACACTCACACACACACACACACACACACACACACACACACACACACACACACACACACACACACAAAGA